ATCATTATTATTATTATTATTATTATTATTATTAGTTTTTGTTCTTGTTGTTGTTATTGTTGTTCTTATTGCTGTTGTTATTGTTACTCTATTATTATTATTATTATTATTATTATTATTATTATTATTATTATTATTATTATTAGCCTTAATGACAAGTATCCTCTACCTAATCGTCAACAGATGAACTATTAAGTGCTATTAGTCTTTGCTAGCTTGACTCTCCATCGCGCAATAGGTATCATCTCGGACTCAGGTGGTGGGATTTGGGACTTAATTTGCATATTGATGAGTAAATGAGATAGGTAATTGAAGGCCATAATTAAAAAAATGGTCGCTGTGCATGTCATTAAATTGGCTACCTCACCCATACACCTGGTTTTCCTCATGGGTTTTTCTTTATTGCAGTGGCTTTCAAACTGGCTTTTTTAATGAATTAGGATACTGGGTTTGGGTTTTGTTTTCTGTGTGGCTTATCTGGTGGCTTTTTGGTATGGCTTTTTTTAGTATGGGTTAGGAGGTGAAATAAATATATGAGAAGAAGAAGAGGGAGAGAGAACGAGATGTGGACAGAGAAAGACAGATGAAAGAGAGATAAATTTATCTTCCTCCTGTTTCACCTCTGTGTCTTTCTCGTTGTCTTTTCTCCTCTTCTTTCACTTCACTTTCTTTTCCTCTTCTCCTCATCTCCCCCTCCTCCTCTTCTTTACCCGTCCTTCTCTTCTCCATCCCTAACCTTAACTCTTCTTTTTCATCCCCATCCTTCTCCTCTTTCGTGTGTTCTTTCTCCTCTTCCTCTCCCTTCTCTTCCTCTTCCTCCTCCTCTTCCTCTTCTTCCTCTTCCTCTTCCTCCTCCATCGTGAGAGACACACCGCACACTGGCACAAGATGACTTAAGCTCCACTAAGTCAGGGTGACGTAGTTGAGAGTTAGTTTGGTCCACACGCTCACTTGAGGCCGACACACACACACACACACACACACACACACACACACACACACACACACTTAGGGTTAAAATAAATTCCTCTGGTCCCGGTAGAGTCTAGGTATAGTTCAGACGCCATTTTGTTTGTTCTCTTTGTGTTTTAGTTGTATGTGAGTTAGGTTAGGTTAGGTTGGGTCAGGTTAGGTTGGGTCAGGTCAGGTTGGGTCAGGTCAAGAAACATGTTTTAGCTTGAGTTGGGCTCCACACCTTCTCTCATTACAGGTGTGTTTGGGCCACACACCTGTTCTCATCACAGGTGTGTTAGGGCCACACACCTTCTCTCATCACACACCTTCTCTCATCACAGGTGTGTTAGGGCCACACAACCTGCCCTCATCACAGGTGTGTTAGGGCCACACACCTGTACCCTGGCACAGGTTTCACTACGGCCTAAGTTCAGTCATGATGAAACCAAGTTGGATTTCTTCAGTGTTTCTTCGTGCAGTTTTTTGTATTTTTCTGAGGGAGAACCTGATTTGCATGTGTATGTGTGTGCGCGTGTGTGTGTGTATATGTGTGTGTGTGTGTCTATGTGTGTGTGTGTGTGTGTGCGTGGCGTGCGTGCGTGCGTGCGTGCGTGTGTGTGTGTGTGTGTGTATTGTTATATTTGTGTGTACATATGTAGGAGTTTACCATCCTCTACTATACTGTATGTGTCTGTGTGTGTCTATGTGCGTGTGTGTGTGTGTGTGTGTGTGTGTGTTGTGTCTGTGTGTGTGTGTGTGTGTGTGTGTGTGTGTGTGTGTGTGTGTGTGTGTGTGAATGTGTGTGTTTTGTGTGTGTCTATGTGCGTGTGTGTGCGTGTGTGTGTGTGTGTGCGACATATGCTATGTGACTACCTTGTATGTGCTTGTTTGTCCAGTTTGTTGCGTGTGATAAGAAAGTAAATCGAGTCAGGGAGTAAGTAAAGTGAGCGAGGGAGAAAGTAAAGAGAAAATACACTAAGTGAGACAGCGTAAATGAAGAATTAGAATTTAGCGAGAGAAAGTAGAGAGAAATAAGATAGTAAGAGAGAAAGTAAGTAAAAAATGGAAAGAACGTAAATATAGAATTGAGAGAGAGATTAAAGAGTGATTGAAAATTTGACCCAATCTTAATCAAAAACCTTTTCTGCTGGTCCACCATTCTCTCTCCCTCTCTCTCTCTCTCTCTTTCTCTCTCTCTCTCTCTGTCTGTCTGTCTGTCTGTCTGTTTTATACAATACCCAGGCTCATATTGCCTCGACTTGTTCGTAAAGGATCAAATTCGCTTTACTTCAACGACCAATAATTCTCGTTTTATCAACATTTTAAGCTCTGTGTGTGTCACCTATTCCTCTGTACGTCTTTGTTTTATATTTTCGTAGACCTTAGTTATTATCATTATACAATACCTACTGTTTATTAAGTATTTTTCCGTAGTTTGGGGATTTTTTTTTTTTGGGGCCTCTGGAAATATTTTAGGTATGTTGGCCCTATTGAAACTTTTTCTGGGTGAGGGAAAAGTTTGGAGAGTTTTAAGAATTTTTTGAGAATATATATATTATTTTTTTTTGGTGGGAGGGGTGTTAGTTTCGATACTGTTACTAGCACTGCTATTACTATTATTACGACTATCAGCACTACCATTACTACTACTACTACTACTACTACTGTTACGACTATCACCACCAGCACTATCACTACTACCACCACCACTTCACCAGCGCCCCACTACTGTTACCATCACCACCATCAACAGTGTAGTACAGAGTAGTATGGTGTAGTGTAGTGTGGTATGGTGTAGTGTAGTGTAATATGTAGTGCAGTGTAGTATGATTTATTGTTGGTGTTTTAATTTACCTATTTCTTCTTGTTAAAAAAATACGATTCGTTACCGATGTTTTAATTTCCTTTTACGGTCCCCCCCTCCGCCTCTCTCTCTCTCTCTCTCTCTCTCTCTCTCTCTCTCTCACTCTGTTGCGGGTGCCGGAGGTCGTTAAGACAACCAAATTATGGTTCTTTGAAAAGCGGATTGGTGGGAGATATATTGCAATCATTTGTCACATTTCTCAACAATGTCGTTCCCATTTATTATTAGCCAATATCTCTCTCTCTCTCTCTCTCTCTCTCTCTCTCTCTCTCTCTCTCTCTCTCTCTCTCTCTCTCTCTCTTTCTCTCTTCCCTTCCCGTGTACCTTTTCTCTATTCTGTTGCTTTGAACCAAAACTCTTGTAAACACGTCCTGACATGCTGGCGATCAACACACACATACGATATTTTGCAGGGAATTTTTTCTCTTCGCTTAAAACCTAATTTAACCTAACCAAACCTAACCAAACTTTACCTAACCTAACCTAACCTAACCTAACCAAACTTTACCTAACCTAACCTATTGTTGAAGTATTTCCGGCATATTATTGGAGTACAATATATCTTTGACCATCTCGGGGGAATACAGTGTCATTGCATCCATCTCATTGCGGGGTGCAGGGGTTATTTTGTGTGTGTGTGTGTGTGTGTGTGTGTGTGCGCGTGCGTGTGTTGGGTACTAGGTTACTGCTAGTTGGAACTGCAGAGAGAATTATATGTGCCCTGTCTGTCCATCCATCCACACATATACATATATAATATCTTCCTCCCACATTACATACATTTGTTATAACAGCCGAGGTCATTTTTTCCCTCGTTACTCCCAGAACATTTATTGCCAGAAGGTCATCATTAATGTGTAGTGTTTAATTTTGTTTGCATTGTATTGTACTGTTGTCGACGAGCCAGGCAGGTCAATGGTTATGGTCTGTGTTAATGGTCTGTTGATGACACTACCTCAACCTATAGCCGAGATGAAAATAAAGACAAAATTTTTTAATTCTAACAGTGTACCTTAATGTGATTTATTGTAATGTAAGTCAGATTAAAGTTAATCTAACGTAACCTAACCTAGCCTAATCTAACCTAACCTAATCTAACGTAACGTAACCTAGCCTAATCTAGCCTAACCTAACTTAATGTATGTTGGATGGGGAGCGTGGGAATATTGTGAGGATCGTGGGAATATTGAGGAGCGTGGGAATATTGAGAGCGTGGAGATATTGAGGGGGCGTGGGAATATTGTGAGGATCGTGGTATTGAGGAGCGTGAATTTGAGAGCGTGGAGATATTGAGAGGAGGGGAAGGCGTGGGATGTGGAGAGGGCGTAGGGATATTGAGAGGAGCGTGGGGGTATGGAGGGCGTGGGAGTTTGGAGAGGGAGTGTGGAGAGGAGCGTAGGGATATTGAGAGGAGCGTGGGGGTGTGGAGAGGAGCGTGGGAGTTTGGAGAGGAGTGTGGAGAGGAGCGTAGGGATATTGAGAGGAGCGTGGGAGTGTGGAGAGGAGCGTGGGAGCTTGGAGAGGAGCGTGGGAGTATGGAAAGGAGCGTGGGAGCGGGGTGAAGTGCGTATAAATCTTGGGATGCGGCCACCCACATTACACTGCTGGTTCACTGGCAGCTGGGAGACCTGGGGTGGATCAGCGAGTGGCCGGGCGGTACATTGTCGCTCTCACTCTCGCGGGACTGACCGCCCTCACTCACCCGCGCTCGGCAAAGTTAGCTCGATGTTTTAAAGGTAAACATGAAGTCTGTGATTGACTGTACTTTTATTTTGTCCACATTAAAAGTCACTCCGTCTTTAATAAGCACTTATGTTTGTGATTGTTTCTCGTGTGTTGGAATTCTCCTGTAGTGTGTGAAAAGTATTCGTTAAACAAAGGTTTAGTGAACAGGGAAGTTGAATTATTCTTAATCTCGTATTTTATAAGCAAAGAATCTTTATTCGTTTCTGATGGGCTTATTTTATTTGATGTCATATTGTTATACAGCTGATCACCTTAGGTTCACGCCGTCGTCAGAAACATTCCTCGCTTAGGTTTAAAAAGTCTGTCGATGAGAGGAAATGTTGATTCTGGGTTCAAGTTTATGTAGTTGTGGAGTGTGGTGGTGTGTGGCACCATGTGGTGGCCCCACGCGGTCTGGGGCGGCGGGCAGGAGCGTGGCGTTGAGGTTAGTGTTCCCCGCGCGGGCAGGTTAAGAGGAGGTTGGTACACTCTGGTGTTCTGCGGACCCCCCACACGGGGACGACCTCTGGCGCTAAACTTGTTTTAATACTTCAAGATATTGTACGGTGCTCTATGACACAGTGGATCTTTATTTACTACCGTTTCTTTGGATGTCTGTGACATAGTTTCTTTGGATGTCTGTGACATAGTTTTTGTTTTCTATGATTATTCAGTTTTTTATCCTTAAATTTATATGTCAACTTTACTGATTGAAACTTTTTCAAAAACCTCTTTTCTTATGTTCCATTGTCCCATAAAATTAATTATTCTATTTTGTTTCTCGAATCCTGAAATACAGCCTAAGCTTTATTAGTTACCGTGTATGATCCAGAGAAAACAAAACTATATTTCCCATTTCTGAACTTGGATGTGTTGACTGAGCGTGATGAACTATGGGTAATACTCAGTGAATCCAGAGACCAGTGATCGGTGTTGTAACTCGCGGGTCACAGGTGAGTAACCGACTGACAACGTGTGTTTGTTTACCTTAGTCGTCGTGCTCTGACATGACACCTGGCCACATGTGAACTCTAATGAAAAATAAATAAAAGTGTCTCATCTACACCTGAGAGTTTTCTTTGAACAAATGGTTTAATATACACAATACTGTGAGCTATACAGTATACATCATCCACACACTGCCAGTATACATAATACATAATACATCCTTAACAACTTTTATAAGTATACACAGACTCACTAACTGATAATCATATTCTGATATACTCTCACTGACAGCTGTAACAAGTATAAACTAGTGTAGTTTATGTATTACAACTATGTAAAGTGGGATTCATACTTTGAAAGAAATTAAAGTTTTCACCATTATGTCGTGAAAGTTAGGCACCATCATTTAGCGGTGAACATAACGCTTTGTCTCAAGTTCCTGACGACTTTTGGCAGTTTAGTCAGTCCGGTGCCCGCCTCTCATGATCTGACTGATAGTGACTTTTGCGCTTAAGGGATGCCCCCCCCCCTCCCCAAGTACAACATGAAACAGACAATAACCATCTTTTTCTCACCTATGTTTTGATAAATTATTAAAATTATTCACGTGTGACTCTAACCACCAAAGGAATGACATAAATTTGGGTTAAATTTACATCAATGAATCATTAATAAGTGGTTTTATGTATGAAGTAATTGCTGTCCCCATTATACATTTATTAATGGGTGTAATGGGTGGTTATATAATGTATTTACTGATTGGTGACCCATTATTACAAAAACACTTATGGACGACCCCCATTACACGCTCAGTTCTGGGTGACCCATATATGAGGTCTTCAATGGATGAACTCTTAAAACAAATCAGTCATGGGTCACTACTTTGACAAATTGATTTCTTTTAGATCCTTTGACCCCAAGGATGATGATGGCAATGACCTCGTGGCATACATGACAAGAGGAAACAACCACGATAAATATCCTGTGTCACCCGCATAAAAATATTAATGGATGATCTCGTTATAGTTTTAGTAATGGACGAATACCATAATAAATTTAATGGTTGATCCTCATGTCGAACTATCATCAATAACAACTTTCACAGAGTAATTTACCAATATTTATCATCTGAGGATAAAGATAGTCTTCTCTGACCAACTGATACATATATTTTATTGATACATTTATATATTATTAGGTATATGTATGTATTCGTATATGTGTAATAGGAACTAAGGATATGTGGGTATCCTCCAGTTCCTCAGAGACAGATCGAGTGTTAAGGATGCCGCTAGGATTCCTTCGTTAGTAAGAGATGTTGAGTTGTTGTAATAGGAAGCTTATTAGTGATGTCTTGGACCTTTTCATTACCCTGGACCACAACTCGTTCCAAAACCTTAACTTCATTTTGACTTAGATTCCATCCCAATTTGATTCATATTTAATTAAGTGGTACACAGGTATAAGTCTCGTGAATATGTCTTGATTTAATGGCTTCTCCGTAGTCAGCCTCAGTATCTTTGTTTGGTGAAGCTCAAGGTAAAGCACACCAGTAGTTCCTCACCAACTGTCTGCAATATTTCCTGGCATATCTGATTACCCCGTTGACATGCTTTTGAGAATCGTCGAGCCTCAGTAAGCTTTTGAAGGGGTTGGTTTGGAAGATGGGGGGCGACCTGGGGAACTCTTTGAGCAGCTCCCTGGCATTAGCTGAGGTCTTGTATTCCAGCACTCTCTTACGTGCTTTAGAGAGAGAATTTTCACTCACTAGCTTACTGGCTGGCTGCTGTGGTCGATTATTAGAAAGCTGGTAATGAAATTTGAGAACCTGTGAGTATAATCAACCTCCCGAGTTTAAACCTGGAGTGTAACTTCTCTGTACTGTGTGTCGTCCAGGTGGATATTGGTGGATGTCTCTAGCATGGATTTAAGTACTGTACTCAGGTGAGCTATAGCTGTTGAAGAAGGTCGAATCCCCCGAAATATAAATTAACTCAGGTGAGGAGGTGTCATGAGCGTGTGTATCATTAGTCACGTCAGATGAGGTTTGATCTGAGGGAGGCATCAATAACACGGTGTCTGTCGGGTCAGTGTCTCAGGTCGCCGATACAATAGCTGTGACCTGCACGATAGTTGGTGGAAAAAGTGTTATAGTTTAAGGGGTTGAGACATAGACCTGACTTCTTGTACCTTGCGCGACTGATGTTTAGTAGTAGTAGTGAAAGGGTGTCCCATAGGCCTGACGACGTGTTAAAGGGAGTGTCGGTACAATACTTTTAACACTATGCTTCGGTGCACAATAACGTAGGGTGACCAACACTACACCCAAACGCCTTTATTTTCTTAACGTTTAAAGTTAGGTACCCATTCACAGTTGTATCGACCTGGTATATACCCCGGGTGTAAACCAGCGAGTCTAAGGACAGGAGGCGAGCATTGTGTCCACTCGGCCACTTCAGGTGTTATTGAGGTGTTGAGTGACGAGGCTGAAGAGGAGAGGGACGAGGAGCTTAGCCTTTGGGACACACACACACACACACACACACACACACACACACTACTACTACTAATAATAATCTTTATTTTTTATTAACAGTAACAATTTTACATTACCTCTCGGCACTACACTAAAATTGCCCCTGGTATTCTCTCTAATGCCTCGTAAACTTCTTAATGAACTGTCCTGTAAAATTCAAAAGTTCATTATGAAAATTACATTAAAGAATTACTGTTTATTAAAAAAAGAGAAAAAAAAATGAATGGAAAAAATTGCAGCTAGTCCTTATGGGCATTTTAATGAGGCGAGTTACTCTTTGTGTTTACTGTGCTATTGTGACCCACCAACTCTCTCTCTCAGGTGTGCGCTAACTGTGACTCAGGTAACCTAGGTAATCTGTTATGTTTGTCCATCACCAGGTGTTATGTCTATTATTACCTGGACCTCCTCCCTCCCCCCTCCACCCCTGTGTATAGAGCCTCACTGAACGACAATATGTATACCTTGTATTAATTAAACGACGCCTAATGTCTTATCATCTAAATGGTGTTTTCTTTTTTAATTGATGTGTGGTATAGTCTTATTTGTATGGGTTTTTTTCCCCCAGTTAATATAAGCACATAGGTAGACAATTTCCAGGTTTTATTAACAGGTAGGAAAATATCTCGTTGTTGAAACTCATAACCTTGTTTACAATTAGTGTATAGAGGAATGTGTTTTGTTTTTTTTGTTTACGTAATGAGAGAGTCCAGTTGTTGTTGGCAATGTTAAATGTTTGTTTATGTTTGCCAGTGTTAAGATATTCTAGGTCAGTACTCTCTACATTAGGTCACCATACCTTACGTCACTATAACCTAGGTCACTACACACTAGGTCACTACATGTTTCGTAAGTACATTCTAGGTTACCCCTTCCACGTCACCACAAACTAGGTCACTATACTCTACGTCACTGGAAACTAAGTCATTACACCATCACTCAATCAAAGTATACCATCCTTATCGCTGAGGGTTGGAGACCACAGCCCTCCACTCCAAAAATTTTCAGGTTGTCTTTACCAAATCCTGACTCTCTCTCTCTCTCTCTCTCTCTCTCTCTCTCTCTCCCAACTTCTAATCTCCGTCTCTCTCTCTTCCCCTAGTCCTCTGTTTTACTCATTATCTTCTTTACTCTTATCCCCTCACCCCTAATTATATGACCATAGTGTCTCACTATTCTAAATCTGTACGTTTGTGTTATTTCTCTTTTGTCATTCGAGATATTCTTTGTATTTCAATTGTTTTTTTTTCTTTGAGTGTAACTTGTGTTTGGCGTTTTTCTGTAGTAGCACATTTAGAAAGCCTCTAACTCCTCCCCCCCCCCCCTCCTGGTGTCTACCTGAAGTGTCTCACCTGTACAAAAGTTACATAAATATATTGCATTTCATTTTTTACCTTATGCTAAAATTGTTTTTTTTTAATACATATTTTAGTTTATTTACTCCTGGTTTTTTTTTCTCTTTCACTTCTACCATAACGACAAATGTTACTTTCCAATTTATAAAAAAAAAATGTTTCCTAGTGTCGACCATAAATCACTTTACCATTATCCTTCATCTCTTCACCACTACTTACATCTTCTCTCTTTATAAACTCGTAATGGTATGCTGTATATTGGTGGTGACAGCAGGTAGCCTTGTCTAACGCCTTATCTAACCCTAAACCAATTAGTTCCTTCGTTACTACAGCTTCCTGGTGGCTATAAGATATTTTTTTTATTGAGTTCTAGTATCCCCATCATATTGTCGTCTACTTTTTTTTACGAGATGTCAATGAGTTTCTTGTGTTTTAGAATTTGTTTTTTCTCCATAATTTCATAAAGATGTTTTTCCTGGGTCCTTCCTCCTCCTCTTCTAAAATAATTTCTATCTACAAATTTCTCTGTTGAAGTTTTTATTCTGTTTAAGATACTAGTCAGTGAAACTTTATATGCATTATTCCTCTAAACTGGATACATCAGACAGTACCTCCTAGCTTATGGTGTCACTCTTCCTTCATGAACGGTCGAAAATCATGTATAGTGTCTGGTTATGGTGGTTTAAGGAGGGGAATATAGTGAAGTAGGACGCCAGGTGTTTATCTTTACTCTTTTGGGATGTAAAATAGGTTGATAATGAGCTATGAGTACATCCTAGATTACCATACTCTAGGTCACCATACTCCAGGTCACCATACTCTAGGTCACCATACTCTAGGTCACCATACTCCAGGTCACCATACTCTAGGTCACTATACTCTAGGTCACCATACTCTAGGTCACCATACTCTAGGTCACCATACTCTAGGTCACCTTATAGTAAGTTACCATACTCCAGGTCACCCTATCGTAGGACACCAAACTCCAGGTCACCCTATCGTAGATCACCATACTCAAAGTCAGTACACCGTAGGTCACCATACACCCTGTCAGTACACTTTAGTCACAATACCTTACGTCCCATTAATACACTCCTAGTCACCACACCCTGAG